CAATAACATCACTCTCGTCATTATTGTTATTATTATTGTTATTATTGAGTTTGCAGAAGATTACTACAATGTAGGTGAAATAAAGACCCAATGTATGTGTAAGTGTATTATAAACCTAATTTTCGGATGTAGCTTATATCCTTTATCACAGTGTTGTATGCAATACATTATATATACGATTGAACATTGTATACATTGAAATGAATACAGCATTGTATACAACACAATTCACTTACACACACATATTGGGTCTTTCCTTCACCTTCATTGTTAAATTTCTTGTGACAAAGTTTTCTCCTTTCTGCGTTTTGGAAATGAAATACAAATTTGTAATTAGTGTCGCTAAGTTCTTTAGATATTTTTTTCTTAAAATGGTATATAATTTATATAAATAAAAATGGAAATGTTCGTTTGTTCAAGATCGCTAATCTGCGAAAGTTCTTCACCGATTGCTTTGAAATTTTCACACAACGTTCCATTCGCCTCCGAGCAGGTTTATATATATATACTATATAGATATCACGTCTGTGACGGAAAAAAAATATGCTTTTTCTGAAAAACTGGGTTTTTTATGTGTTTTTCATGTGAGGGAAATCTTCGAAACCTCTTTACCGATTGCTTTGAAATTTTGACACAACGTTGAATTCGAATAGGCGCGTATTTTTATATATCTACTATATACATGCCTCACCTGTGACAGGAAAAAAAAAACATGGTTTTTTTTTTTAAACAGCGCCATCTGTTGGATGTAAGGGCAACACACGCTGTAATCTCCAAAAGTTCTTCACCAATTGCTTTAAAATTTCGACACAACGTTGCATTCGAATAGGCGCATCTTTTTATATACCTACTATATAGATGCCACCCCTGTGGCAGGTAAAAACATGCATTTTTGAAAAACCGCGCCATCTGTTGCACATAATATCAACATGCACGCTATACTAAATATATCACGAATTCCATTTCAGTGTTTCCGATTGCATTGGTAAATTTTATTTTCATAGATTTCGATTTACTTTATTTTTTAGTGAATTATTTTGTGTGACATTGTGTTGGAATTGAGCTGTGTTGTTTTTCCAGACCATTCATTTCCTGAGTAGTTTATTTTTATATTTTTTCATATTTTCATTTTATTTTTTTACTGTTTTTCTTATATTTCAGTGATGGGAACCTCAGATCACTTGATGTTCCCAATTTTCTGATGGGAACATCAGACCATTTGGGAAGGCATCGGACGAGGGATTGGGGAATGGTGGGGATGACGAGGGGACGGAAGTGAGAGATGGTGGGGAGGACGAGGGGACAAGGGAGGTGGTAATAGTGGGGAAGGATGAAGGGACGGGGGAGTTTGGGATGGTGGGGACGAGGGGATGGGGAAATGGAGCATGGTGTAGAGGACAAAGGGACGGGGAAGTGTGGCATGGTGGGAAGGAAGAGGGGACGGTGGAGTGGGGAATGGCTGGGAGGCCGAGGAGACGGGTGAGAGGGGATTGATAGGGAGGACTGGGGGTCAAGGAAGGTTGCTGTGGCTCAGCAACGCGTTGCCGGGTACTGCTAGTTTTTTTTAATAATAATGACAATATATGTCATTTTTGGGAAGAGATATGTTGATGAAATTGTCGCGGTGGTTGATGCTGACTGCCAGAATTCCATCAATGTGTTGTTGGACCAATTATATGACCAATAACCTATTAATTCTACTTCGGGAAAAAGTGTAACAAAATTATATTTTCTGGACGTTATAGTGATGATAAATGATGAGGCTTGTAGCACAACTGTCTATCATACAAACACACGTAATGTTACACACTTTAGTTTCAGAATTTTAAATCAGAATTCTATAATGCCTCAGCCATAGCTCATTTATTCCTCTCTACTAGTTCTAGTGTGGTAAGCACATTTATTTATAATACTAATGAATCAAGCTTATTATTTTTATATAATCAAGTTATTTATAATACTAATGAATCAAGCTTATGATGTTATCGACAATCCTATTAATTACAGAAATAATATCACAGTTACACTGAAATAGCTGGAAAACCATGCATCATTGTTATATTGCCTTCAACACAGGTGGTGAGGAACTCTTCAGTACTGAAAAATATTGAAATAAATTCGTCCCGAGTGAAACGACGATCTTAAAAGCTTGTCACCTTCTGACACCTCATCAGCCCAAGCTGTTATTGGTCCCTGTTGTTTTGTGGGTTGCTTTGTTAAGTTGCCTTACATTAAACAGCTCTGTTTAGTGCAAGTGTTTCCTCCCTCCCTACTTTTATTCTGACAACTCTACCTCTCTTCCTTCTTGGCTGGCTCGTCATATTCCGTCTAAGTTTGTTTACATTATTCATCTCTCATTGCCTTGTGTAAATGTATTTCAAACCAATATTTCTCTTAAGAATTTAGTTTTATTATCATTCGCTCTCTATCAATCCTCTTTTACATTGTATATATATCCTTTCCTTTTCCGTCTCTCCCTGTCTATTCTTCCTCGTTTCCCCATTCCCTGCCTCCTCCTGCCTCCTCCTCCTCCTCCCTCTTTGAATATCTCTCGACGTACCTCGTCTTCGCCCCTTTGTGTGATGCCTGACTTAGATAATTGACCAAACACATCGTCATCAAGTTGGAGTAACACCATTACCTCCTAAGGACGAGGAGATATTGCGTTACTCATCACCAGCAACACAACAGTAGACCTCATCTTCTGTCCTCCATCTATTTTCCGAGACTAATCGGCCTGTATATCTGTATATACTTGTTACGTGTGACTGTACTAAATGCAACCAGTTACCTGGCTTGGCTTGATGTCCAAAGAGCTTGGAAAGGATGTGGGAGGAAGAAGGATGGGGCGATGAAATTCTTGGAAGAGGATTTGGATGTGGAGAGAGGAGGCTTGAAAGTTCGGTGGCCCGTCCACCTTGGATTGGAGATGTTTTTTCAGTCAAAGCCTGTAGCTTAAATTCTTCCTGACATTGCTGCTGCTGTTGTGGGTTTGTGGTGTTTTATGCGGGCTTGGCTTGATGTCCAAAGAAGTTACCTGTGCATTTGTATTTGTGCCATCATCTCTACAGAGTGGTATGTGTTGCTTGGCCTAGTATGCAAGCTCCGATTTGCCTAAGGAGCAGAGTTTTCCTGAAATTATATATTTTGTAAACAAAATAATTTATAGAATGATTAAGCCTTCACATATATTTAGTAAGATTTTATAGGTTTTTGTTTTTGTTAAGCCTAGCGTGGAAATATGACAAAACCTAACCTAACCTAACCTAACCTAACCTAACCTAATCTAACAACTAAGTCAGGAAATTATGTTCCAAGTAAAATATAATAATATTAATCTAAATAACCAGATCTGAAAATTTTGTTTTTATATAACAAAAATCATTCTCCTTGTTAGGCAAATCGAGTATATAAAATATAAGGTATATGCCTTAACTATTAATTTCTAACCAGAAGATTTTCCGTTGTAGAAAATACAGCCTTCAATATTCACTAGAGCTCCATTACCATCAAACTCGGTAACTTTATTACACTTCTTAAACCCGAGAGTAAGAACAAATGAAGAATAGAAATCTTATACTATACGACCATCAACGCCAACAATGCGGTCATATATAACTATTATGGATTATGGCCGTGACAAAGATTCGAACCTACGTCCGGGAGCATCCTAGATGCTGCCTTAATCGACTGTGCTACGACATGGTAAAAGAGTTGAAACCGAAGTTCTACTGAACCTACTGGATCCTGCAGCCTCTCCGAGGCACAAACCAGGGTTTTACACAACTCGCCCCCCCCCCCCATGCACTCGAGCTATGCCAATAGGCCGTTCTCCCTCTTCGCCCTTCATTACACACAGAAATCATAATAGCGTGATGCGTCAAATGAACAAATCCACAAGGGCAGTAAATATGAACTCAATCAGCAATTTCAGAAGAGAACGATTGGAGAGGTGGTTCAGGAAAGTTAACGTAAAACTAATGTGGCCTTAGATAATATTCTCGTTAGCTCCCATCACCAGCTGGTCGGCCAGATGGATTGGGACTACAATTGTCTACTTCAGAGAGAGAGAAAGATCAATTGATCCATCTCATCCATCAAAAAAAAATATTATATTTTTTACTACAAATTATTCTCCAAAATTCTGCTCGTCTGTATTAAGATAAAGGAAGGAGAGAAAAACTACGATGATAAGAATATCAACGACGCTTTTCAAGCTTAAACAGGCTTGATAAGTCACATCAATATGGCTGACAACAAGACATCCGACCCACAAATGTCCAAACTTATATCACTGAAAAAACTTAATTTAGCGACTCTTAACTGCAATGACCACAGCACATAGAGCGAGGCTCAAGGCTTCATTAAACGTGCGTCAATTTGCTAAGGCTCTTTTAATTTTTAAACAATTAAAGAAAATCATGGTTGGAATCAAATGTATATATATTCAACACGCACAAGCGATCCCTGGCCTCTGAAGGAAAAATCCGAGACGACAGAATTAAAATCTCGAGGACAAGAGAATGAAGGAGTCAACATAGGATATCAGGGTGGGTGTGGGAGGAGGGGAAGGGAGGACATGGAGGCATCATGTGACACGGAGGAGGATAGGGCGTTATCATGGGACATGTGGGAGGGAAATGGGTTATTAAGGGACATGGAGGAGGGAAGGGAGTTATCATCAGATATGGGGGAGGGAAAGGAAGGAAGTTATCATACGATATGGAGGAGAGGAGGGAGTTATCATGGGATATGGAGGAGAGGAGGGAGTTATCATGGGATATGGAGGAGAGGAGGGAGTTATCATGGGATATGTGGAGGGAAAGAAACGAGCATGAAGTATAGAAATGAGATGTGGGACACTTACCATGGGATATAGTGGGTGGGAGAGGCCAATAGATCAGGATGAGGTGGATTAATTCAGACATAAAGAGCACAGGGTGGCAGTAGATTCTATCACTTATTATATTGCATTAGGGAGAGTTAACATTGGATTCGTTATGGGTCGAGGCTCATGGGAGGAGGTGGCAGTGGAATGGGTCGACAGAGCATTGGATCCAAATGAGGATGATATGGATGAGTCAGTCTGCGAGAGAGTAGATAAAGCATGGGATATGGGAGAAAGAGGAGATAGACAAAAGTAAGAGAGGACAGTTTGCATGTAATATTGGATGTGTGGGAATTAAGAATATGAGAAGTGAACGATAGATAACAAAGGATGCAGGTAACGTGAAAAATCAACACCTGATAGACCCCCAGGTTACTATGGGACAGATTAAGTGGGACACACACACATATAGCGTGGGACATTAGCCCCCAGCATAGTATACCTGAGACCAGATTCACGAAGCAGTTACGCGAGCATTTACGAACGTGTACATTTTTCCTCAATCTTTGACGGCTTTGGTTAAATTTATTAAACAGTTTACAAGCATGAAAACTTGCCAATCAACTGTTGTCGTTGTTATAAACAGCCTCCTGGTGCATCGGAGCTCATTAACTGTTTAATAATTGTAAACAAAGTCGCCAAAGAATGCGAAAAGATGCACAGGTTCGTAAGTGCTTGCGTAACTGCTTCGTGAATCTGGCTCTAGGAGTGTAGTGGGTCGCGACAAAGGACGTTTCCACGAAATGATGAAAATCAGAAAGCGATATTCCCCTTCGGGTTCCCTCTACAGCAGCATTTCTGACATTTCATTTCATTTTGGACACCCTCGACACATTTTGACAATGGGCATCCCTCTGGTATTAACAGATCTCTGTTCACCAGAGTTCTGCCAGTAACGAGGCACCCCCGGAGAGTGGCGGGCCATCAACGAGACACCCCAGATAGCGTCACACCACCAACGAGACACCCCCAGATAGCGTCACACCACCAACGAGACACCCCCAGACAGCGTCACACCACCAACGAGACACCCCAGATAGCGTCACACCACCAACGAGACACCCCCAGACAGCGTCACACCACCAACGAGACACCCCCAGATAGCGTCACACCACCAACGAGACACCCCCAGACAGCGTCACACCACCAACGAGACACCCCCAGATAGCGTCACACCACCAACGGGACACCCCAGACAGCGTCACACTACCAACGAGACACCCCCAGAGAGCGTCACACCACCAACGAGACACCCCCAGATAGCGTCACACTACCAACGAGACACCCCAGATAGCGTCACACCACCAACAATTAACAATCCGTCACCCCAACCATCACACTGTCAGCACACAGCGCTCCCAGCTTCCTCCCCTTCCCGTCATGCACTTTTCTGGCCAATATTTTGAACGTCAGATCAGCAACACAACAAAGCCGCTGTGCAGTGACCTCTGGCCTAATTATTTTTACTCCCTAACAAGGACTACAGTCGGGTTAAAAATAATGTACAATAGAGGCTGTTGGTGGCGTCTGTGATGGGGCTGGCACTGGAAAGTTGTATGTAAAAGTTTTGCTATCTGGCGCGGTGCCAAGAGGGTCGAGAGGGTCATTCGAATTGCTGGTTACTCAGGGGTTACTTAGCTAGATACCATGCCACTTTAATGGATAGGGTTCGACTCCCCTCAACTTGTACACTCTTCTGTGACCAGTTCTGTCAATATCTACAAATGTTTGTAAAACTAAAATGTATATTATCACACCAACGCACACACACACACTCACACCAACGCACACACACACACACACACACACACACACACACACACACACACACACACACACACACACACACACACACACACACACACAGACTCAGCCAAGACTCAGCCACACACGCAAAGACTCAGCCTAAATTGTTGCATAGCCACATTAGGAGAAAAACAACAGTAAAGGAACAGGTTATGAGATTAAGGATAGGGGCGGAAGGATTCACTACAAATGACAAGGAAGTGTGTGAGGAATTGAATAAGAAATTCCAGGAGGTCTTCACCTTAGAACAAGGAGAAATTCCAGAGGTAAGTGAGGGAATAGCTAACCAGGAACCATTGGAAGAGTTTGAGATTACCAGTGGGGAAGTAAGGAAGTGTTTACTAGAGTTGGACGTGACGAAGGCTATAGGCCCAGATGGAATCTCCCCTTGGGTTCTAAAGGAAGGAGCAAGAGAACTGAGCCTACCACTCTCCATAGTGTATAACAAATCACTGGCAACAGGGGAACTGCCAGATATTTGGAAACCAGCTAACGTAGTCCCGATATACAAGGGGATAGACAGGAGGCACTGAACTACAGGCCAGTGTCCCTAACCTGCATACCATGCAAGCTGATGGAGAAGATTGTGCGAAAAAAACTAGTGGACCATCTGGAGCGAAGGTACTTTGTAACACAGCATCAACATGGGTTCAGGGATGGCAGGTCCTGCCTCACAGGGTTACTTGATTTCTACGACCAGGCAACAAAAATAAGGCAAGAAAGAGAAGGGTGGGCAGACTGCATATTTTTGGATTGTCAGAAAGCCTTTGATACAGTACCACACAAGAGGCTAGTGCGAAAGTTGGAGATGCAGGCTGGAGTGAGAGGGAAGGTACTCCGGTGGATAGAGGAATACCTAAGCAACAGGAGACAACGAGTCTGTGTGAGGGGTGAGGCCTCAGATTGGCGAGACGTCACAAGTGGAGTCCCGCAGGGGTCAGTCCTTGGACCTATACTGTTTCTGGTATATGTAAATGATCTCCCAGAGGGTATAGATTCGTTCCTCTCAATGTTTGCCGACGATGCAAAAATTATGAGGAGGATTGAAACAGAGGATGATAGTAGGAGGCTACAAGATGACCTGGATAGACTGAGTGAATGGTCCAACAAATGGCTGTTGAAGTTCAACCCGAGTAAATGCAAAGTAATGAAACTAGGCAGTGGAAACAGGAGGCCAGGCACAGGATACAGAATAGGAGATGAAGTACTTAATGAAACAGACAGAGAGAAAGATCTAGGAGTTGATATCACACCAAACCTGTCTCCTGAAGCCCACATAAAGAGAATAACGTCTGCGGCATATGCGAGGCTGGCTAACATCAGAACGGCGTTCAGGAACCTGTGTAAGGAATCATTCAGAATCTTGTACACCACATATGTAAGACCAATCCTGGAGTATGCGGCCCCAGCATGGAGCCCGTACCTTGTCAAGCACAAGACGAAGCTGGAAAAAGTCCAAAGGTGTGCTACTAGACTAGTCCCAGAACTAAGAGGCATGAGTTATGAGGAAAGGCTGCGGGAAATGCACCTCACGACACTGGAAGACAGAAGAGTAAGGGGGGACATGATCACAACCTACAAAATCCTCAGGGGAATCGACCGGGTAAACAAGGATGAACTATTCAACACTGGTGGGACGCGAACAAGGGGACACAGGTGGAAGCTGAGTACCCAAATGAGCCACAGAGACGTTAGAAAGAACTTTTTCAGTGTCAGAGTAGTTAGTAAATGGAATGCATTAGGAAGTGATGTGGTGGAGGCTGACTCCATACACAGTTTCAAATGTAGATATGATAGAGCCCAATAGGCTCAGGAATCTGTACACCAGTTGATTGACGGTTGAGAGGCGGGACCAAAGAGCCATAGCTCAACCCCCGCAAGCACAATTAGGTGAGTACAATTAGGTGAGTACACACTCTCACACACACACACACACACACACACACACACTCACACACACCCACACACACACACACACACACACACACACACACACATACACACACACACACACACACACACACACACACACACACACACACACACACACACACACACACACACACACACACACACACACACACACACACACACATACAACTTTCACTTGAGAAAGAGTAATCATGTCCAGTTGAACAATAAATATGCATTAGCATATAATCTAAAAGAAAATGGGGACATTGAAACAGTTGTTAAACTCGATTTCCAGAGAGGACACTATGGGGAACTTCGAAAAAATTTAATGAATGTAATTGGACAGATTTGTTGATAGGCAAGGAAGTAAATGAGTCAAATTTGGCGAAATATACGATGACAGCACACAAACATTCTTACCAAAACAGAGATGCAGGACCAGAAAACAGGGTTGGTTCAACAGAAATAGCGAGAGGGCCAGAGACTAAAAGCCACAAAAATAGAATCAATATAGGAGGAGGCCAAACCCCCAAATATTTCAGCGATACAAAGATGCGAAAAACAACTATACGGCAGTAAGGAGAGAGGCAGAAAGAAATTTTGAGAAAGGGATAGCAGATAAATGTAAAACAGAACCAGGCCAATTCTACAAATTCATAAACAACAACTTGCAGGTAAAGGATAATAATCAGAGGTTGAAATGCGAAGCAGATTCACGGAAAATGAAAAGGAAATGAATGAAACATTAAACGAAAAGTTCTATCATGTGTTTGTACAAAATAAAATCTTCAGAGAACCAGACACAATAAGAATTACAGTGAACAACACAGAGGACTTAGAGGTGTCTAGAGACTCAGTGGATAAAATGCTCAAGGAGCAAAGTAAGAACAAAGCAGTTGGTCCAGATGGAGTTTCACCATGGGTTCCATGGCTCAACACCTGAGCTCAGCATTTCACTTCAACTGATTTTTCAGGCATCTCTGTTTACAGGAGTTGTAGCAGACGCGTGGAAAAAGGCTAACATAGCTCGAATCTACAAAAGTGGCGGCAGGGAAGGACCCCTCAACCTGTATCAGTGACTGGTGTAATAGTCAAAATATTGGAAAAAATAATTAAAACTAAATGGGTATAACACCTGGAGAAAAACAATATAATATCAGATAGTCAGTATGGTTTTCGATCTGGAAGATCCTGTTTAACGAATTTACTCAGTTTCTATGATCGTGCCACAGAGAATTTACCGGAAAGAGATGGTTGGGTTGACCGCATCTATCTGGACCTAAAAAAAGGCTTTCGACAGAGTTCCACGAACGAGGTTTCTCTGAAAACTGGAACATATTGGAGGGGTGACAGGTAAGCTTCTAACATGGATGAAATTTTTTTCTAACTAATAGAAAAATGAGGGCAGTAATCAGAGGCAATGTATCGGACTGAAGAAATGTCACAAGTGGAGTTCCACAGAGTTCAGTTCTTGCATCGGTAATGTTCATTGTCTACATAAACGATCTACAAAATTGAATACAAAATTATATGAACATGTTTGCTGATGATGCTAAGATAATATGGAAGATAAGTAACTTAGGTGATTGTCATGCCCTTCAAGAAGACCTGGAGAAAATGCGGAGCACCATTTGGCAAATGGAATTTAATGTAAATAAATACCATGTTATGGAATGTGGAATAGGAAAACATAGACGCCACACAACTATAAATTATTTGAGAATTCTTAAAAAAATTATGACTAAGAAAGAGATATAGGGAAGATTCTGGATAGAAAACTATTACCTAAGGATCGCATAAAGAACATTGTGCGGGGACCCTATGCTACACTTTCTAACTTCAGAATTGCTTTTAAATACATGGATGGAGAAATACTAAGGAAATTGTTTACGACTTTGTTAGATCAAAGCTGGAATATGCGACATTTGTATGGTGCCCATATCTTAAGAAGCACATCAACAAACTGGAAAAGGTGCAACGACATGCCCTTAAGTGGCTCCCAGAACTGAAGGACAAGAGCTACGAGGAGAGGTTAGAGGCATTAAATATGCCAAAAACAAGAAGATAGAAGAAAAAGAGACGATATGACTACTACGTACAAAATAGTAACAGGAATTGATAAAATTGATAGGGAAGAATTCCTGAGACCTGGAACTTCAAGAACAAGAGGTCATAGATTTAAACTAACTAAACAAAGATGCCAAAGAAATATAAGAAAATTCACTTTCGCAAACAGAGTGGTAGACGGTTGGAACAAGTTAGGTGAGAAGTTGGTGGAGGCCAAAACCGTCAATAAGTTCAGAGCGTTATATAACAAAGAGTGCTGGGAAGACGGGACACCATGAGCGTAACTTTCATCCTGTAACTACACTTAGGTAATTCCACACACACACACACACACACACACACACACACACACACACACACACACACACACACACTCACACACACACACAGTACTTGTCTACAGAGTAGTAGACACATGGAATGCATTAGGAAGTGATGTGGTGGAGGCTGACTCCATACACAGTTTCAAGTGTAGATATGATAGAGCGCAGTATACTCAGGAATCTGTACACCAGTTGATTGACAGTTGAGAGGCGGGACCAAAGAACCAGAGTTCAACCCCCACAAGCACAACTAGGTAAGTACAGGGGGGCTGATGGCTGGTGAATGCGGAAACAAATGGGCAGAGTTTCTTTCATTGTGATGCGCCTGTTCACCTAGCAGTAAATAGGTACCTGATAGACAGATGCTACAGGCTGCTTCATGTGGGGGCCAGTGGCTGAGTTGACAGCACGCTGGTCACGTGATCCTGTGGTCCGGGGTTCAATTCCCGGCGCCGGCGTGAAACAATAGGCAGAGTTTCTTTCAGCCTCATGCCCCTGTTACCTAGCAGTAAATAGATACCTGGGAGTTAGTCAGCTGTTACGGGCTGCTTCCTGGGTGTGTGTGTGGGGGGGGTGGGGGGAACTGTAGTTAGTAACAGTTGATTGACAGTTGAGAGCCGGGCCGAAAGAGTAGAGCTTAACCCCCAGCAAGCACAGCTAGTTTAATACAACTAGGTAAATACACACACACACACACATAGGGATCCAAGAGTCAATGCTCGATCCTGCAGGCATAAATAGGTGAGTACACATAGTGTCATATACATATAGTACTACACACATAGTACCACATAAGAGACTTGAAGTATAAGTTGGAGATGCAGGCAGGAATAATAGGGAAGGTATTCTGTTGATAAGGAAGTACCGAAGCAACAGAAGACAGTGAGTCATAGTGAGGGGGAGAGGTCTCAGGGTGGCGAGACGTCACTATTGGTGTCTCTCAAGGCTCATTCACTGGACCTATCCTGTTTCTTATATGTATTAATGATCTCTCAGAAGGAATAAGCTCGTTCTTGTCCATGTTTCCTGATGATGAACAAATTATGAGGAAGATTAAGTCAGAGGATGATAGCAAGAAGGTACACGATGACGTGAACAAGCTGAAGTTTATCTCGAGTTAATGTAAAATAATGAAGCTAGGTGGCGGGAGCAGGAGGTCAGACAAACTGGAGACGAAGGCCTAAAATAAACGGACAGTGAGAAAGATTTATAGGAGTTGATATCATACCGGGCCTGTCTCCTGAAGCCCACATAATAAAGGATATCATCTGTTGCGTATGTGAGGCTGACTAGAACTGACTAGAACTGCCTTTAGAAATTTGCGTAACGAATTATTTCGAACATTGTATATCACATATGTCAAACCAATCCTGGAGTATGCGGCTCCAGCATGGAGTCTATGCGTAGTCAAGCATAAGACGAAACTGAAGAAGGTTCCAGAACTATAAGGCATGAGTTACTATAAAAAGCTAAGTGAACGTCCTCACGTCGCTGAAAGACAGAAGTTAAAGGGAGTTGATCACCACATCCAAAATTCACAAGGAAATTGACAGGGTAGATAAAGACGGATAATTTAACACAGGTGGTACTCGAACATGAGGACACAGGTAGAATCTGAGTACCCAAAGGAGTCACAGAGATATTAGAAATAAATTGATCAGTATCTTGGTAGTTAATAAATGGAATGTATTAGGAAGTGATGTGGCGGAGGCAGACTTAATCTTTACATACACAGTTTCAAATGTAGATATGATAGAGCCCAATTGACTCAGGAACATGTACAAAAGTTGACTGACAGTTGAGAGGACAGTTGACTGACACTTCAATGTGTCATATGACAAAGAACACAGGGAAAACGAGACACCACAAGCGTAGCTCTCAACCTGTAAGATTCACTTAATTACACACAAACACACACAGACATCAACACTATAAGAGGGAATGTCTGTTTACTTGACTCTTTGTTCGTCTGTCCAAAGTTGAAGGCCAAATGCTTTGGGCTAACCTCACTCAAATTGTCAGGAGGGAATGGCCTGAGGAACAGGATGAACATAGACTGGTCGGGGGATTGACAGTGTTCCAGGGTCACATACTGACCCCCACTCCAGCAGTTTTTGACACTACCCGCCAGCTACACAACTTAAAAATATTTTCGAAGCAAAGAATTAAAAAAATATATATAGTAATATCTATACCAATATTTATTGATTTCTAGAAAGTTAATAGTAATTTCCTGCTATCCATAACGATTTACCATGGATTCGAATCTAGGCTACGAGGGTAAAAAGTCAATACTGTACCCACTCAACAATCGATTGCATCATGTACAGGGAAGGTCATGGAACCTGCTGGACAGCCTCCCTGGCGGCCTAGGTTCGAATACTTTAGGGGTCATTTGGAGTTCTGTTGAAAACTGATGCCTGGGGACCATTCAGGTTAACCTCTGACCTGAGTGCATTCATCAGGGACCTAAGAAAGATATTTTTCGATATTGTTCGCAAGGCCAAAACGTGAGACCGACCAGTGCCGTGATTGTCTTGACGGGTTGACCTCTACTTTATGTGTAATATACCTCTGTATATTACTCTCTCTTCTCTCTCTCTCTCTCTCTCTCTCTCTCTCTCTCTCTCTCTCTCTCTCTCTCTCTCTCTCTCTCTCTCTCTCTCTCTCTCTCTCTCTCTCTCTCTCTCTCTCTCTCTCTCTCTCCTCTCTCTCTCTCTCTCTCTCTCTCTCTCTCTCTCTCTCTCTCTCTCTCTCTCTCTCTCTCTCTCTCTCTCTCTCTCTCTCTCTCTCTCTCTCTCTCTCTCTCTCCCTCTCTCTCTCTCCTCCCTCTCTCTCTCTCTCTCCTCTCTCTCTCTCTCTCCTCCTCTCTCTCCCTCTCTCTCTCTCCCTCCTGTCTTCTATCTCCCTTCTCCCTCCTCTCTCTTCCTGTCAATCTCTCTCTCCTCCGTCTCTCTCCCTCTCACAATCTCTCAACTTTAACCTTCAATATTGCTACTTCACCCTCACAAGTTTTCACTTTATTTTTTCCTTGCTTATCTTCGCTGATATTTCTTTTTAATCTTCGTTATGTCTTCAGATGGTCTTAGAGTTCCATTTGTTCTGGTGGAAAGTGTCTTGGCTCCGAGCTTTTAGTGCACTTGGCACAAGATCTGAGACGTCTTCACACTGCTCCAATGCTCTCTTAACTGTCCTCTCTTGAGACTCCTTCATTCGTGTAGCCTTTTTCATCCTGTTTCATGAACTATTGCTTAATTTTATACCATATTTTTGTCCTCCCTTCTCTTAACGGTAGCGCACAGCACACGACCCGCACAGCACACACGGCTCACACAGCACCCGACTCGCACAGCACACGACCCGCACAGCACAAGACCCGCACAGCACAAGACCCGCACAGCACAAGACCCGCCCAGAACACGACCCGCACAGCACAAGACCCAAACAGCACCCGACTCGCACAGCACACGACCCGCACAGCACAAGACCCGCACAGCACAAGACCCGCACAGCACACGACCCGCCCAGCACACGACCCGCCCAGCACAAGACCCGCCCAGCACAAGACCCGCACAGCACAAGACCCGCCCAGCACACGACCCGCCCAGCACACGACCCACACAGCACAAGACCCGAACAGCACAAGACCCGCACAGCACACGACCCGCACAGCACAAGACCCGCCCAGCACAAGACCCGCACAGCACAAGACCCGCCCAGCACAAGACCCGCCCAGCACAAGACCCGCCCAGCACACGACCCGCACAGCACACGACCCGCACAACACAAGACCCGCACAGCACAAGACCCGCATAACACAAGACCCGCACAGCACACGACCCGCACAACACAAGACCCGCACAGCACAAGACCCGCATAGCACAAGACCCGCACAGCACACGACCCGCACAGCACACGACCCGCACAGCACACGACCCGCACAGCACACGACCCGCACAGCACACGATCCGCCCAGCACAAGACCCGCACAGCACAAGACCCGCACAACACAAGACCCGCACAGCACAAGACCCGCACAGCACACGACCCGCACAGCACAAGACCCGCCCAGCACAAGACCCGCACAGCACAAGACCCGCCCAGCACAAGACCCGCACAGCACAAGACCCGCATAACACAAGACCCGCACAGCACACGACCCGCACAACACAAGACCCGCACAGCACAAGACCCGCATAGCACAAGACCCGCACAGCACACGACCCGCACAGCACAAGACCCGCACAGCACAAGACCCGCCCAGCACAAGACCCGCCCAGCACAAGACCCGCACAGCACACGACCCGCACAGCACAAGACCCGCATAACACAAGACCCGCATAACACAAGACCCGCACAGCACACGACCCGCACAACACAAGACCCGCACAGCACAAGACCCGCACAGCACACGACCCGCACAGCACAAGACCCGCACAGCACAAGACCCGCACAGCACACGACCCGCACAGCACAAGACCCGCACAGCACAAGACCCGCCCAGCACAAGACCCGCCCAGCACAAGACCCGCATAACACAAGACCCGCACAGCACACGACCCGCACAACACAAGACCCGCACAGCACAAGACCCGCATAACACAAGACCCGCACAGCACACGACCCGCACAACACAAGACCCGCACAGCACAAGACCCGCACAGCACACGACCCGCACAACACAAGACCCGCACAACACAAGACCCGCCCAGCACAAGACCCGCCCAGCACGCGATCCGCCCAGCACAAGACCCGCACAGCACAAGACCCGCACAACACAAGACCCGCACGGCACAAGATATATATATATATATATATATATATATATTATATATATATATATATATATATATATATATATATATATATATATATATATGTATATATATTTAATAGCTTGTATGATATAGCTAATATACAAGGCTTCAGCTTGTATATTATGGGTAAAAGACAAGCATTCACTAATAAGGGAGAGAAAGGAACCAACAAGTCAAGAACAAAACATTAGATAATTAACAAATATACAACACTATTAAACAGAAAGAAACAGAGTGTAAGCACAAGGAAACAGGAATAATGTGAAGGAGAATGTGGGGGACAAAAATATGGTATAAAATTAAGTAATAGTTCATGAAACAGAGGTTGAAAAAGGCTTAAAGAATGAAGGCGTCTCAAGAGAGGACAGTTAAGAGAGCATTGGAGCAGTGTGAAGACGTCTCAGATCTTGTGCCAAGTGCACTAAAAGCTCGGAGCCAAGACACTTTCCACCAGAACAAATGGAACTCTAAGACCATCTGAAGACATAACGAAGATTAAAAAGAAATATCAGCGAAGATAAGCAAGGAAAAAATAAAGTGAAAACTTGTGAGGGTGAAGTAGCAATATTGAAGGTTAAAGTTGAGAGATTGTGAGAGGGAGAGAGACGGAGAGAGAGATTGGCAGGAAGAGAGGAGGGGAAGGGAGGTAGCAAGACGGAAGGAGGGAGGGAGAGAGAGAGAGAGAGAGAGAGAGACGGAGAGAGAGATTGGCAGGAAGAGAGGAGGGGAAGGGAGGTAGCAAGACATAAGGAGGGAGAGAGAGAGAGAGAGAGAGAGAGAGAGAGAGAGAGAGAGAGAGAGAGAGAGAGAGAGAGAGAGAGAGAGAGAGAGAACGTACAGTTAACATTGCAGACAGACTGTGCGAGCAGTGTGTGTTGTACAGACTGTGGTAGCATGTGTGTGCTGTGCACACTGTGCAGGCCATGAGGACTGCACCAACTGTGCTGATCATGTAGATTGTGAGTGCGCGCACCACCTGTTACCTGCTTTAATATATCAGAGTGGAAAGAAGCGTCTAAACTATTGAAACTAAAATATTATATTAACAAAAGAAAATGAGGTCTGACGAGTTACCTGGTGCCAGGGACGAGTTACCTGGTGTTAGGGACGAGTTACCTGGTGCCAGGGACGAGTTACCTGGTGTTAGGGACGAGTTACCTGGTGCCAGGGACGAGTTACCTGGTGTCAGGGACGAGTTACCTGGTGTCAGGAACGAGTTACCTGGTGTCAGGAACGAGTTACCTGGTGTTAGGGACGAGTTACCTGATGTCAGGAACGAGTTACCTGGTGTTAGGGACGAGTTACCTTGTGCCAGGGACGAGTTACCTGGTGTTAGGGACGAGTTACCTGGTGTCAGGAACGAGTTACCTGGTGTCAGGAACGAGTTACCTGGTGTTAGGGACGAGTTACCTAGTGTCAGGAACGAGTTACCTGGTGTTAGGGACGAGTTACCTGGTGTTAGGGACGAGTTACCTGGTGTTAGGGACGAGTTACCTGGTGTTAGGGACGAGTTACCTGGTGTTAGGGACGAGTTACCTGGTGTCAGGGACGAGTTACCTGGTGTCAGGGATGAGTTACCTGGTTGTTAGGGACGAGTTACCTGGTGTCAGGGACGAGTTACCTGGTTGTTAGGGACGAGTTACCTGGTGTCAGGGACGAGTTACCTGGTGTCAGGGACGAGTTTTTGTCAGGGACCATCAGCAACAATCACCACCAGGGAAAGGATGGAAGGAATTATCAGGAGAAAGCGCCAACCCATAACGACTATATAGCACTTGGAAGGGATCAGGATAAGATGTTGGGATAGGCCGGGGGAAAGGAATAGTGTCCAAACACTTGGACAGTCGGGGACTGAACGCCGACCTGCATGAAGCTCTACCGTCGCTCTACCGTCCACTCCAAGTGGTTGACATGAAGGGAGCTGAATATTTATATATACAAGAGTTCATACATTCTGGTTCATTCATTGTGACTGGTTCATACATTCTTGTAAGAATGTATGAACCAGTCACAGGTGCCAGTAAAGGCACAATGCCATTTGCTTCCAGAAGCCCGTTCACTGTTCTGAGGAGCAAGTTGTGATCTTTTTTCTCCACTCTGTCGCCTTAGGCAGTACCCTGGAAACACAAACCGAAACTGTCTCTATTTTCCACTTGTTGCAACTTGTAATAAACGTGTTACATCTTGGCTTAACGTGTTTATGACGTATTAGAACGTTGTTACAACGTGCTATATTGGTTGTTATAACTGGTTAGGTGTTAAAACTTGTCCGAACGTTGTACCAACGTCGTAGTTTCGGTGTGTGTTTGTCGGGTAATGACTTGGGTGTGGATGTCGGTGTCTCCGGTTTTGGTTAGTCCTGCTGCTGAGGCTTGTTTGGGCGTCCAGTCCATATGGTCGTAGTCTACATTAAGCTTGTAGAAGAGAGGCTCAAGCCTTGACCCTATGCAACATGGTGCAGTTTGGCCCTGGATTACAGGAGCTTAGGTCGGCAGCGTGAATCTCCTGCGAATCCTGATAGGCGTAGTGACGTTTTTGGGTGAGGAGCAGGTAAGAGAAGAGATAAGTGTAAGGTAAGGGAAGAGATAAGTGTAAGGTACGAGCAGGTAGGAGAAAATATAGGTGTAAGGTGAGGTGCAGGTAAGAGAAGAGATAAGTGTAAGGTAAGGGAAGAGATAAGTGTAAGGTAAGGGAAGAGATAAGTGTAAGGTAAGAGCAGGTAAGAGAAAAGATAGGTGTAAGGTGAGGTGCAGGTAAGAGAAAAGATAAGTGTAAGGTAAGGGAAGAGATAAGTGTAAGGTAAGAGCAGGTAAGAGAAAATACAGGTGTAAGGTGAGGTGCAGGTAAGAGAAGAGATAGGTGTTAGGTGAGGAACAGGTAAGAGAAGGTAATTCCTAGAAGAAGTTAAGAGTGAAGCGAAAAGTAAAATAGGAAGAAAGGTACAAAAGGGAAGAAAGAATAAAGAGATAAGGTAAGAATAAACAGAGGGTAAAACAAGGAAAAGTGGGTAAGCTTAAGTCAGGTCACGTTCGTTAGGAAGTTTAGAAGATTTGACTATACACTGTGAAACGGAAGAGTCAACAGCAACAAGGCCAGGACTAAGGTTCATGTTGGGGATGTTGTGAATCAGAGCCAATTCGAACAGATGGCGTCTGTGAAGAGCAGAGAAGGGAAAGATTATTTTAGAAGTTCAATCAATAGGATGATTAGAGTCCCTAACATGACAGAAGAGAGCATTGTTTGTGTCTGTAGACTTAACACTTGTTTTGTGTTCCTTAAGTCATTTAGTGCACGCCCAGTTTTCCCAAAGTATTGGAAAGGACAAGACGAAAAGAAAATAGAGTAGACACCAGCAGCATCAGAAGCACGAGGAGCAGTGTGAACCAGATTACTACCAAGTGTATTAGCTTTTCGAAAGGCAAGTTTTATGTTAAGAGGAGGACGAAGGGTTTTAGTGAGATTTTTCTGTTCAGATATGAAGAGAAGGCAGAGCACAGTGGTAGCAGTGTTTGGAAACATGTTTAGGATGAAAGAAATTTCGTTTAGCTTGAGAATAGGCACAGTTGATGAAATTTAAGGGGTATTCAAGGCGAGAGAATTGGAGATAAAGAAAATTTCAGAATCAAGGAACTGAGGGTCACTGATGCGTAGAGCGCGGAGGAAGAGACAGACGAGAACACTTCTTAACAGAAAGAATGTACATACCACTATGCATGTGTTTGTGGTAGACAGAAAAAAGAAACCGGACACCGAGCTGTGAACATGAACATTAACAAGAAAAAGGAAGGAGAGAATTATATTCCCATTCAGCTTTGAAATTTATTGGAGTCAGATTGTTAAGAGAGGGAGGGAAACGCTGGAAAAGACTAGGGTTATGAGGCCATAGAGCATAAGGTTTCCCAGCTAAGTTAGAGGATCTAGGAGCTTGTAGAGCGTGCCAGCTAAGTTAGAGGATCTAGGAGCTTGTAGAGCGTGCCAGCTAAGTTAGAGGATCTAGGAGCTTGTAGTGCGTGCCAGCTAAAATAGAGGATCTAGGAGCTTGTAGAGCGTGCCAGCTAAGTTAAAGGACCTAGGAGCTCCTAGGATATATTAACAAGACGATTAGCCCTCAACAACACCCTCGCAACAGCGACATAATAATAATAATATACACAGAAATCATAATAACGTTATATATCATATGAACAAATCCTCAACAGCCTTGATGAGGGTTCGAACCTATGCACTGGATGCTCCCAGACATGTTTGGCAACAGTGGAAGCCTCGGTATCCTCGTGGGTGCAGTAGCACTCCACGTTACAATTCTTTGACCATGTCAT